ACAGAGGCTAGGGGAATAAATGAATTTTGAATCATACAGTCCCACACTATCCAATAGGTTTCACCTCTGCCAAGCTCTTCATTATATTTTCAGACCTACTTCCTAACATTGGATCATTCCATTTGGTTGCATGACCATTTTGTACCATTTTGACTAGTCAAATGAATATGTACTCACATTGCTGTTTCCTTTGTCATCTGAATAAAGGAGGTCTTCATTCCCTGTGTCTGTATCAGTTGATTCTTGCTCCATTTCACTGTCACAGAAACTTTGGCTCACATGGCCATTGTCAAGTCGTCATCATCACCAGCACCTGATGATTTACTTTCAACCTCCTCCAAAACTTGTAAATCTGTTTTTTTCGTGTGCCATTGTACTGAATTGTGTTCCTGGTTTCTCCAGGCGCAGCTACTGTGAGCCCCACCCACATTTCAGTATAGTATATGACATGTTTACATAACAGAAGAATAGTTTGGGTGCATTTTACCCCCTGTGATGCCCAGGGAAACATGCACAAAACCTGTTACACAGAATATTATGTGGGTAAAAATCTCAGTTTGACACTTGCACATGTGCCCACAGCTTGCTGTTCATCGTACCAAGTGGGTAAATATAAAGTTTGCTTCCTGTATCCCTCAAGTGCAGCTACTGAGACACACAGCTGGCTACTATTATGCTAAAGTACAAATTTCCAGTAGAAAAATATGGGATAGAAAAGTAACCCAATGTAAAAAGTAATCAAAGGAAAGTCTCATGGTGCTGGTTTCTCTTCTCATTCTAAGGATAACAGACATAGGATGGGAATTCTCTCAATTTTGTTTTTTTGGGTACTGGGGATCGAACTCGGGACCTTGAGCTTGTGAGGCAGGCAGCGGAACCACTGAGCTAAATCTCAGGCCTGGGATGGGAATTCTTACATAATAGAAAAAGAAGAGCCTGGTGTAGTGACCTATGCCTGTAGTCTCAGCACTCTGAGAGGCTGAGGCTGGAGGATTGCAAATTTGAGCCTGGGCAATCTAGTAACTTAGCAAGACTTTGTCTCAAAATAAAATCTTTTTGAAAGGCTAGAGATGGAGCTCAGTGCAAAGGCCCCATGTTTAATCCCTAGTACCAAAGGGGAAAAAAAAAAAAAGAAAAGAAGGAATCATTTGCTAACTTTCATACATGGCTAAGTAAACTGTCATATGTAACAGTCATAACCTTTGGAAACAACTACAAAACAAAAATTAATACACTATTTAAAAAACTTAAAGTCTGAAACTAAAAGTAACAAAAATGTGGGCCCAATACATACAGGTGATGTTGTTGAAGTCATCTTACTAAAGTGTGTGTGTATGTATTTGTCCTTCTGATATATTCTTACAGTACATATGAGTAACGTGATTATGTTCACATATAAGAAACTGGAGGGGTTTTTTTCATCTATTTGTCTTAGAATGAAAAATATAAAATTCTCAAAAATGTATCTCCATCTCTGTTTGGGACCTTCTCCTTGTGGAGCAGTTTGCCCATAATTGATAGTGTTAATCATCCAATAACCTCACTATGAGGGACCAGCAGGGCTCATGGCACAAATGGTCATTATTCTACATAGAAAACAATGATGAAATCAACCTTTAAAGGGATCCATTTTCTTACTCAGGATTTTTATTGCAAACCACCGAAAGCATGTATTGTAAGGAAAAGTTTATACGATTGCTTTTCTAATCAGATTCCTATTAAAACTATCTTTACCTAGTCCCTTCTGTTCTCCAACCCCCAGTTCACCGAGAATAATCTGTTTTCATCTAAGGTTCCTCCTGCTTCCTTACCTTCCCTTTCTAGCAGCCCTTTGTATTTTCTCTTCTAACAATAATTCTTACTTACATAGTGCTTATGATGTCCAGGGACTGTTCTAAGTACTTTACATACATTATGTGATTTTAAAGCATCACAGCAAGGTAAGTATTTTTACTATAGATTATAGAGATGAGGAAATTAAGGCTTAGAGAAGTTAAGTAACTTATTCAAGTTCACAAAAGTAGTGGGCACAGGGCTGGGACTTAAACCCAAGCCATTTAGTTCTAGAGTCTGTATTTGTAATTACCTCCATGTGGATAACAGTTTTTCTTCTGTTGTGAAAATGACTTGCTACAACTTCCTTCCATTAGGGTTACCATGCTTCTAGGTTAGCCTAGGACTGGCAAATCTTGCTATCCACTGTCATTGTTTGGTAGCATTGTTTTTACCTTTAAAATTGTCCACACTTAAAATTATATCACACTTTTAAAACTACCTATTTCTAGCTACCATTCACTGAGGGCCTGCTATATATCAAAAAACTTTATACTTATTGTATTAAGCTTCATAAGAATTTCATGATACAGCAACTATGTCCCCTGTTTTATAGTGGAAGAAATTACCAATCAGAGATGTTTCAAAAATTGCTGCACCAGGATTCAAGCCCAGGTCTATCTGACATAAAAGCTCTCAGTCTTTACCACTGTCTTATATTTTATTCTTTTTTATATTTTATACTTTATGAAAGAAAACAGCCATGGAAAATTATCTAAAATGTCACTAACTGGAAAAAGAAAAGGCATCACTGCTTGCAAAGAGTTCAGCCAGAGCAGCTGTTAAAGGGTGGCCTCCAGAACCTGCAACTTTTGTAATCTAGTCACAGGGTCACTGAGATTGCAAGTGCTGTATTTTCATATTGAGTTGCTGTTTGTCTCCTAAACTGTGTTCACATTTGAACTTAAGAGTTTAAAAGAAATGGTGAGCCCAAGATGAGATACCACTTCACATCAACTAAGATGGTCATAATTTCTTTTAGAATAGAAAACTACCATCAGCAAGGATATGTAGAAATTGGAATCCTCATGAATTGCTGGGGGGAATGTTAAATGGTGTAGCTGCTGTGGAACAGTCTGACAGTTCCTTAAAAGTTAGACACAGAATTAACATATGACCGGCATTTCTGCTCCTAGGTATACACCCAAAATACAATGAACAAGCATAAATAACATAAATTTGACAACTTACAGAAAATTGATCAGTTCCTCAAGAAACATAAACACTCGTGAAATATGAAAGAGATAATTTTACTAGTCTGATAACTATTAAGGAAATTGAATTCATAATTTAAAAATTCACCAAACAAAAATTTCAAGTAAATGGCTTAATTAGGTATTCCACTAAATCTCTAAAAAGTTAAGTTCTACACAACCTTTTCGAGAAAACACCAGAGGATAAAAAAATTTTAAAATTCAAAATATTTAAAACAAGAAAACACAAGGGGAATGAACATATTTCAAACCATTTCGTGATGCTAACAGTATCCAGATACCAAAGCCAGACATCGATGATGCCAAAGCCTAAACACACAAGGACAAACTACAGGGACATTTCCCTGAGAAACATGGATGCAAAAAGTCTTTAACAAAATATTAGTAAATCAAATTCAGCAATATATAAAGAGAATCATATACTATGACCAAGTGTGGTTTATTCCACAGATGTAGGGCAGGTTCAAAATTCAGAATCAATCGATGGAACCCACAATGCTAACAGACTACAGAAGAAATCTGTGTACTTCTGCTCAATGTTGGTATGAATCTAAAACTGCCTGAAAAAGTAAAGTCTATTAAGAAAACGAAGACAACACCAAAAGCTGTCAAGGATGCAGAGAGAACACATCACCCCTGTATTGCCCGTGGGAATGTGGAATGCTGTAGCCACTCAGCAAATCATGTTGGCAGTTTCTTTAAAAATTAAGCATGTAACTATCCTATGATCCAGCAATACCTCTCCTGGGCATGCAATCCAGAGAAGTCAAGATTTATATCTACACAAAAACCTGTATACAAACATTTACAGCAGCTTTATTTGCAATCACCAAAAATTGGAAACTACCCAGATGTCCTTGAACAAAAAGAATAATTATAAAACTGTGGTACACCCATACCATGGGCTACTACTGTACTCACTAATAAAAAGGAACGTACTAGTGGGCACACGATAGCCTGGATGAATCTACAAAGAATTATGCTGAGGATGGAAGGGTGGAGACATTCTAAAATGTTTCATACTGTGTGGTTCTATTAATAGAATTCTATTAATAGAATGGGTGGATGCTTGTTTTGTTTTTTTGTTTTGTTTTGTTCATTTGCTTTTGCAGTACTGGGGATTGAACCCATGGCCTTTGCACTGAGCCACATCCCCAGCTCTTTGTACTTTTTATTTTGAGGCAGGGTCTTGCTAAGTTACTAAATTGCCCTGGCTGGGCTGGAGATGGTGACCCTCCTGCCTCAGCTTCCTAGAGTGCTGGGATTACAGATGTACATCACCATGTCTGGCTAATAGAATGTTTTTTACATGATTGAGGCTGAGACAGGAAGACAGCAAGTTTCATGCCAGCTTGGGCAACTTAGTGAGGCTCTGTCTCCAAATCAAAAAATTATATATATACATATGCCTGGGAATATACCTACCTCAGTGTGAAGACCCTGAGTTCAATCTTCAGTGCCACAAAAACAAACAGATAGACCAGTACATACTAAAGGATGGAGAATAAAAGTTTGTGGATAAGAGTTTAGATTGCAATTTGCAACTAACCTTGAAGAAACTACTATTTGTCACCCTGTAACAAAATACTAGGATGAATATCCACACTGACCTGAAGAGGGTTTGCAGATATGCCTCCTTTCCCACCTATGTATCTGCGCAAGGTTAGGTTAGAACAGCATAGCACAGCAGGCAGGTGGATGCAGAAACAGGTATGACAAATCAGCTGTCTTCTATTAAACTAGATGTTAGAGATTTGCATAAAAATGCAAATCAATGGTCATCATTTTATGAAATTTTCTTTAGTCTGGCACAGATAGTTATTTTTTAAGTAGAAAACTTGTGGCAACATGTAATAGGCTTATTCTTTTTAATGATTAAAAAATACATAGTTTTAAATTTTGCCAATTTGAATTTCCAATAAGGTAAATACTGACGAATGGGCAATACTGCTCATAAGTGAAAGCTCTTTGAGGTCCCTGTTAATTTTTTAATGTGCGAAGTCTCCGGACACACACACTTTGAGAACTGCTGCTGCTGGAGGACTTGGAAATTTTGACTATAGTAGCGAGGTCCACAGATGCAAATCAAGTGCTCACACCCTAAGGGTTATATGAGAAAACAAGAAAGTTGCTGGGTTAGAGAAAGCCTCGTGGCCGCCTTTCCCTTCCCTGCCTGGGGACAGGTCAGCCAGGGAACTGCTGAGCTTCCCTGTGGAGAATCATCTCAGGAGTTCTTTGTGAGGAGGCCTCTGCCCTTGGCCCCAAATGGAAGGATCAGAAATTGGGACAGCAGGCTCTAATTTTTGCTCTCCCTTTTATTGATGATATTATATTTCCAGAGAAGCCTGAATCTCTTCCTCAAAGAAAGAGAGAGAGAGATTGATTTTGCCAATTTGACTTTTACCAAAATAATGATTTGTAATACATTCAGCTATTTAAAGAGAAGATCCATTTTCAGAAGAATGAGGTGGTTGTAACACAGTTTAGGTGAAATCCGTGATGAAGAACCCTTTCTCATTTCATTTGCTGGCCGCATTGTTGAGTTAATCTTCAAAAAGCATATTGCTAAAAGAGGAAAGAAAAATTGGTGACTTAATTTCTAAATTAAAAACCTGTCATTTAAATGAATCACAATGAAAGGGTCTGATTTTCAGATGAAGTCCCCATCAGTGGCTTGCTGGCGTCCCTCCCAGCAGTCTCCAAGAAGACACCATGGCCCTGCAGGCTGGCATGATTCAGAGGCTAAAACATGAGGGGAAGTGCATGCTGGCCTCTGAAACAAGGTCATTCTGATTGAAGAGCTGATGTAGATCTAGAGGATCTGTTATCAGTGAATTAGCTGGAGAAATGCCAACACCAAGGAAAAATGTCAACGGATCGCTTGCTCTTGGGCATGTGTTTAAATGACCCAGAGACAAAATAGTCCTCTGTAATGTTTATAGTGTGGGTATGTGTGTGTTTCCACTTAATATCCCCATGATGCCCCTCTTACCCTGATACTTTCCCCACTCTATCGACTCAGCCTCCTTCTTTCTCTTTCTCTTTGTTTTTAATCATTTTTCTTTAATTAATTCCAATAGTCATGGGTTAAGTCAGAGTTCATATAATAATGTGACATGTTTAAGTTCCTAAGGGACTATCATGGCCGTCCCTTCTACCCAGCTCCCTGGTCCCCCCGCCTACTCTGCCATCTTGGCTAGGACACAGAGTGACTATTAGGTGCTACACTGGCTGATCTATCCTTTCTGAGTCATAAAATAGACTGGAAATAGCTGTTTAAAAGCAAAACTACCTGTACAAATGTAAAGTACTTTTCTAATAACTCTGTGAATTAACTGCTCTATTGCCTCATGATTACCTTTAGACATCTTCCTAATGTTGAAGAAATAGGACAAGAGTAAATGAGAATAAAACTATTTGCTTTCTCTTCAGTAAGCATCTATCCATCATTGGACTGTTTGCGAAAAAAAAAAAAAAATCTTCATACCAGGCTTCTACTTCAAAAAAAAAAAAAAAACTCTAAACTTAAAATACAGTATGACAGAATGTCTTAAATAATAATTTTCTTTAAAAAATGTATTTTTGCTTTAGCTAATTGCAGTATTTTATTTTCAGGGCTATTCTAATAGAACATATTTTTATCATCAGTTTCAGGAGCAATTTTCTAATTTGAATGAAGTAGAACTGGAAGAATGTTTCAACTTCACTTTTAAGTAATGTTCAGATTTTATGCCTTTTTCGTGTGTGCTCTTCTGTAAGAATGTGAGTCTTCTGTGGCACTCCATGCATGCTCTTCACTGCTGGGTGTTTAGTGAATGCCAGGGCATATTACTCAAGTCCTACTCTTCAAAAATGAAGGCACCTAAGCAAGAAATGCCCTCCCTCGGGGGCTGTCACCTTGCCCAATTTTATGCCCCTTGTTGGGTTCAGCCCCAGTGCAGTGGCTGTTGCTGTGGAAAGTGCAAAGGCTCCCTTTCCCCAGGCCAGGGCTACAGAGCCATTGGAGCTCCAGAGCCCAAGCTTGCCCCACCCAGTCCAGCTTCCCTCCCCATCTCCGAGGTTCCCAGGAGCACTCCCCAATAAACCACTGCACCCAGACATCCATCTCAGAATCAGCTGCCCCAGGGACGTGCCAGGAACAGGCTAGTTTCAAGCGTTTATTCCCATTTTAGAGATTTCCTGAGCAAAACTGTAAAAATCTCCCTTAGAACTAGTTACTTTGCATGAAGCTAGAATTAGCTGGAAATTTCTTTATGGAAAAGCTCTCCCCAAACACACCTGCACCCCCTTCCTACAGACCTGTGCTCAGCCACTTCTATAATACCTTTAAAACAAAAACACTTATAAACCAGCTCTCCCTATTAGCAGAAAGGTAGGAACTTGCAGGGAAAAACAGGAGGGTCAAAGGCCACCCACACATTCCAAGAAAAAAATGCGCAACTACCCAGACTTTTGGTCACAATTTTAGAAGCATACCAAACTCCCCCAAGAAGACTCCATTGACCCTAGTTTCAGAACCATTGTTCTATATAGGAATTCACAGTCTAAAGTCAGTTGTTCCAGTATAGGAAACAAAATGTTTTTTTTAAAAAAAAAATAGTATTTGAAAATGTGCTAATTCTTTTTCATGTAATTTCATCAATAGCTTTTAAATAACCAAATAACAGATTCAACTTACATTTTCGATAGCCACATTTGGTGTCTTGGAACTTGTCCCTTTTCGATATTTCCTCCTGACACAGTAGACGCTGACAAGAGTGACTATCAGCATCAGGACAAACACAGCCACGGTGGAAGAGACAGCAATGACAATGGTGTCTTGGGTGGAGCCTCTCTTCTCACACCTTTCTCCCATGTACCACCAGTCTTCCCCAGAGGGACACCTACATGTGGGAATGCGACTCAGTTATGTGTTGACTCTTAACTCTGGAAAGCTTCCCCATCAAAGGTGCTGATCACTTTAGTCGATTGGTCACCAATAAGTCACTGACATGTGGAACAATTTCACCTACTCTGTACAGGGGGGAGATGGTGACTGGCACATGAAGCCAAGGAGGGACAATAGAAAGGAAAAAAGGAATTCCTCCTAATCTGATCCTAAGACAGCAGCTCTGAGGAAAGGAAGGTAAGTAGCATAGGTAATAGGCAAAGTTTAGATCTCCACCTTCTAGCTTTACACACTGGCCCAAGTCTTCTCAGAACTTCAGTATCTTCATTTAGAAAAGAAGGACAGCCATACTTAAAAAGATGAGACTGTTGTAAAGACTGAACAAAATACATAACCCTTGAGGACTTTTTCAGGAAATTAGAATGTAATGTGCTAATTTTTCTTTCTTTTTTTTTTTTTGGTACTGGGTATCGAACTCGGGAACTTCCGCTTGAAAGGCAGGTGGCCGAACCACTGAGCTAAATCCTGGCCCATGTGCTAATTTTTCATAAATAATTTCATTGTCCTTATAGCTATCCAAAGTTCCAAATGGAGTGAAAAAAATATTCTAGCCAGTAATGGTGGTGCTTGCCTGTATCAGCACTCTGGGAAGCTGAGGCAGAAAAATCACAAGTTCAAGACTAGCCTGGGCAACAGAGCAACTTAATGAGAACCTGTCTCAAAATAAAAAGTAGTGGGGATGTAGCTCAATGCAAAGGCCCCATGTTCAATTCCTAGGACCACAAAAATAAATGAATATTCTGTGAGTGGCTTCAAGATGAGAACTTACTGGTTTCACTCATCTTAACTATCAGCAGTTAGCCCTACATATGACAATAAAGTTTCTAACAGAAAAACAGGGAGATCTCACCTAAGAGACTCATTACCTGCACTCAGCTTTGTCATCTTGGACAGTACAGATGCCACCATTTTCGCATGTGACACTTGAGCAGAGGTCACGGACACTGGAGGTCGGGGCTGGCTGAGATGATGTAGAATTCAGGTGAGATATGTCTAAGGAGGGCAAGAGGAGAGCAAGATGGAACTCAGATTTGCTTTAAAAGTCATGGATCTAAGCTTGTAAGAAAGGTAGATAATCTTGATGCCTGGCCCAGCAACATCTATAGGTGGTGAAATAAGAAACAGGCAAAGGGAAGGTGGGCCACACTTCTGGAGCTACACCTAAACTATATATTTGCCTGGGCTGGCAGAGCTCTGGAAGGCACAAGCCTTTAATACCAACCCTCTAAAGACAGATAAGGAAACCACAGCTCAAAAGTGTAAAGCAGTTAAGGACCTTGCTCAAGGTCATGGGTCTCTTGCTTGATGAAATAAGATGGCAGAGATTTGAAAGTAGATACTGAGAACCCTAACAGTGAACACCATGCTCTTTACATTGTTTTTTGTTGGTGCTGGTGTTGGTTCTGATCCAAAGAGGACCAAAGAGAGTTTATGAATATATGACTTTTTCCCAATCACATAACATGTTTTTTATCTAGATAAGAGTTATTTTTTAATACCTCTCCCGAAAAGTATCATCTAGATTTACTCTAATGGATACTATAGTCAAAATTCCATTGGTTTCAATTATACCATGTTGCATCATGACAAAGATTCTGACTTATTGAGATGCAAGTCACTCTTTAATAGTAGAGGAGTTAAAATCCTACCACATAAAACATGGAAATAAACACAGTTACTGGAAAACATATTTATTGGCTGCCACAGGTAAGAAATTTTTAAAAGCAACAGACTGAAGTTATTACTGTCAAGATATTTGAATGTACATGTATTTGCAGATATGCATATGTGTGTTTATATGTAGATAAAAAGACAGTCCATTCCTAGTTTAATTTCATGTGCTTGTGTAATATTTTTATTTCTAAAATCCTAGAGTATAATCCTAGGAAATATCAGTTATATTTTAACTTATTTATAAAGAAATTTTCCAGCCTAAAGGTTTCCAGTATTGTCCTATGTGGTAGTGACTAAATTCTTTCTCCTAGAACTTTCACTGTTTCCTATTAAATTATTTTCATATAATTAATGATTCAAGCCAAAAACCCTTACATATACCCATTTCCTCCCAAATCCTATAATATACCTAGCAATGAACCCTACAAGAACACACTAATCAGTCACCACAACCCAAAAAACTAGTTTATATACAACTCCTTTTTATCAGTAAGTGCATGCAGACACTGGTGAGAAGCTAGTGTGGACCAGAGTGGTACAGCTGCAGGCAGGTCCAGCCAGGGCCCTGCCCCAACCCTGGCCGCTTGGGCCCACAAGCCCCAGCCAAAGACTTGCTGGGAAAAGAGCTGCACAGGCACACAAGCAATAGCCAGAGGCCTTCCCCAACACCAGTGGTAAGTGCTCACAGACCCTAACCAGAAGCCTGCCCAGACACCAACAACTGGAATGCTCAGCCCCCAGCTAAAGGCCTTCCCAGACAACAGCTACAGAGGAGGGCAGGCTCTAGCCAGAGGCATGCCTAGATACCATCCCAAATGTGCACAGGCTCCAGCCAGAACTCTGCCTGGACAACAGGACAGCTCAGGGATCCAGACAGCCACCACTCTGAACCCAGGAATTGGTGAACTGGTGAACAAAGAGAAAAGACCAATCTGTGGCTTGCTCAGAGTTGAAGACCACTGAGTGAGCAAAAAGTTGCCTCAACAAAGGTGAAGCAGGCTGCACCTGTTGAAATGAAAAGAAACGTAAACAAGTCTCAAAACCAGACTTCTACATCACCTAAGGCAACCACAAAGGTCAACGAGATGGAACAATCTGACACCCAACCACCTAGACTCCCTGAACTGACAAAAGAGGATCTGGAAAAAAATGAAATCAGAAACAATTTTTCATGTAACAGAGAAATTGTGCCCACAGTGCAAGACATGATTAATAAATCTAGAGCAGACACAGATTAAAAAAATAGGGGAGCTAAGGAATATGATGGAATCCTAACATAGGAAACAAATGGAATCCATGAAACAGATACAAACAGATTTCCGAGAGATTAAAAACTCCATTGAAAGTTTACACAGCAGAATGAGCCAATGTGAGGACAGAATTTCAGAGAGAGAAGATAGGATTGCAATTAGTGACCAGGAAAAAAAAATTTCTTAAAAATAGTAAGGGAGCATGAGAAATCACTCCAGCAGCTGCTAGATGATGCAAAGAAGAATAACAGAAGACTGATTGGAGTCAATGAAGAAACAGGAGAGAGTGCAGATGACTTTAAAAAAACTGTTCATAGAAGTAATGGCAGAAAACTTCCCAAGCAGGAGAAAAGAACTTGACATACAGATAAGTGAGGCATATAGGACTCCACCTAGCCTTCATCAAAAAAAAATCTACATATAGGCATATAACGGTTAGGATTCCAGAAACCCAACAGAAGAACAAAGTTCTACAAGCAGGGAGAGAAAA